TGGCAGCTGGGCCGTCTGCCCTGTTCTCTCAGCCTGGGGTCCCCATCACAGCTCGATCCCTGGCTGCACGGAGTGCGTGGTGCAGCCACTAGGAGACCGTGTTCCAGAGGCCGGGTGAGGCTGTGGTTGGGGGAGGAGCCCGGCCCTCTGCGGCGTCTCCCACTCTGGGGAGACTCCTGCACCTCCTCCCTGTGCCCCCTGCGGCAGCAGGATGGTACATCCAGTGCTCACCCCTCTCCTCTTTGCTGCTGGAGTTGATTGCATACTTATTTTGCACTGCGCTGGGTGCAGAGGACACAGGGGGCCCCAGACAGACCTCAGCTGCCACAGAGCCAGTCAGTTACTACCCAGGATGTGATTGGGGGTGGGCATCCAGGCAACTGTGGGAGCCAGAGGAGGTACCTGGGCGGCTTTCTGGAGGAGAATATAATTACAATTGTGTTCATTAAGCAACTGCTACATGTCAGGCACCCAGTTAAGGACTATACAGGCAGAACCTCATTGAATTCTACAAAAGCTCCACGAATATGGGGAAACTGAGCCTCATGGTCCTTAGAATAACACACAAACCTCTCTCCCCAGGCCTTGAGGTCCTGTGCAGTTGCCTCTCCCACCCTCCCCCACATCCCCTGCACTGGGGTCGCCCACTCCTGCCTCGCGCAGCGCTGTCTCTTGGCCTGCAACAGGGGACACAGTTGGGCTTCTCCCAGGCAGAGGAGCCAAAGGGAGGCAGGGCAGGTTTTCAGAAATTGAGGAAAGGACCCCCTATCTGAAAAGGACACAGAGAATGCCACGGCCCCTCCCAGCGGCCACCAGAGCGACGAGCTGGCCCTCCCGGTGCCCCAGGGCCCAGGGCAGAGCAGCCTTGGGGACAAAATCACTGGCCACGGACACCCCCTCTCAGAGTGCGAAGCTGTGGGCCCCTGAGAAAATGTCCCTTCTCCCCTTGGGTTTCAAAGTTTGATTCTTCATGAGCCTCTGACCCTGTAGCATCCCTGCTTCTGCTGAGGACAGGCGTGGGGGAGTGGCCGGCCCCAGCTCAGAGCAGCCAGCCTGCGGGCGTGCTCCCGCGCGTGCTGGCCTCCCTGGGACAAAGGGCTTCAACCGGCAGAGCCTCAGTTTCCCCGGCTGTAAAAGGCGGACAGGGTGCCCCTGCACAGGGTGGCGTGAGTGGAAGTCCCGCACGTGCTGGGAGTGACACAATCATGATTCAAATCCCGGGACACCCGACACCCGTGCCCTCGCGCTGCGTCACTGTGAGCAAGGCACACGGCCTCTCTGTGCAGCAGAGGACGGGCAGCGGGCTGAGGAGGGGGGACGCTCAGTTCAGGGGTGGTCTCCCCGCTCCCTTGGCGCACTTGCAGCAGGCGCCGCAAGTGGAGCCCCCGGCCACACACCAAGGGGAGAAATTCTGGTGATTGGGCCCCCCTCTGCCCCGTCGCCCCCGGGCTGAGGGCGACCCCAGGGGATGCCAACTTCTCACAAAGACACGAAAGAAGCCACATATCTCAACTGGTTTATTTGCTTTTGAGGTGTCAAGTTTGGGGGGTTCCCGGGGCCCAGACCCCAGCAAAGTCCAGTAGACACTTCCACGGCCTGGGGGTTTGGGACAAGGCACTCACAGGAACTCTGGGGGTCAGGGAGAAGACACCCTGAGGTGCAGGGGCCCTCTGTTGGGGACGGAAGACACAGCCACCTTGGGCAGGAGAGGTTTTCCCTGGAGATTTAGGACAAGATGGAAACCTGAGATGGTGGGGGAGCAGCACCCCCTGGGTGGGTGGAAAGCCAGCTCCGCTTCCCATGACGCCGGGGTGCCTCCCACGCTTCGGGGATCCGCAGGCCTAGGGAGCTGAGAGCCGCTTCCAAACCGGCTTTGCCTGGGATTTCCTGGAGATAAAGCGTGAAGGACAGGAAAGCTGCTCACTCCAGGGCCCCGCCACCCGCGCCCCCCCCCCGCCCCCCCGCTGCAAACAGGTTGTGGGGAGCCAGGGCCACTCCCAGAGAAGGGGTCCTGTGGCTCTTCTCTGCGCCCATTCACATGGGAGAGACAGGCACTTCTGTGGGTCTCTGGGAAGCGGAAGGAAAGGCTTGGGTGGGGAGAGGGAGGAGCAGAAATGGATATTCAGCGGGGGTGCGGCTCAGGGCTGGACTGACGTCCCTCAAGGTCTGAACACTGTGACAACTGCCTCCAAACCAGAGGACAGGGCCTCTTGACAGGCATGTTCAGCATCCGTCTGGGAATTGGCTTTCAAGAGGCAGCACTGGCATACGCCCTCCGTCCCACTCAGCTGTCTGTCGAGGGCCCAGGCGGGTCCTGGCTTCCAAACACTTCCTCACCCGAGGCGGCCCCAGGCCCTCAAAAGGCACTTATGCCCAGGGAAGGGAATGTTCATTTGGAATATTTAAAAGAAAAAAAAAAGAGCCCTCCTCCAAGTCCGGGATGCCATGGGATTCACAGCCACGAGGACTGGGGGGCAACCTGCCACGAAGGTGCCCCCCTCCGCCCCTCCGACCACGGCCGCGCCCCACGCTCCATGCCGGCTACAGGCTCAGTCTTCAGGAGGAGGCTGGGGACTCAGGGAAGAATGGGGCTTTGTCCCACCATCCCCAAAGGGGAATTCTGGCTCAGACACTCCAAGCAAGGGGTGGAGAGGTCAAAGGTCAACAGTCTAGACAGTGGCAGCAAAAAAGGAGGCTGGTGTGGTGGGCGGGTTTCCCTTAGCAGCTCCCTCCATACCGCCCACCCCTGCCCGGCTGCCCCCCACCCCGAGGGGCACAGGCCTGCTGGTGTACACACGCCCCAGCTGGCCCAGCTTCCCAACAGAAAGGTCCAAGATAACAATAAGGCATCTTAAACCCACTTTCCCAGCTGTCCCTGTGAGCAGGCCCTTCCTGTTCTGTAAGTTGCCATGCCAGCAACCAGCAGGGCAGCTGAAAATTATTTTCCTTGCTGAAACTATCGCAACCTGATACTTCCCCCAAAGGCCTGGCACTGATTAGAAAGGCATGATTTTGCCCTGGCATGGCCCTGCCTCTCCCAGTGGCCAGGGGACCTTGGCTGTTCCCTGACTAGACCACGTGGGCCACGTGGCACCCGGCCCAGAACACCAACTTGAAGTCCTCCTTCTTTCCACCTTTCTTTCTTTCTATCTATCCACTCTGTCTTATTTATTTTTCAAGCTACGTATTCATGCACATACCATTGACCTTCTTTTTGGCAGGGAAGGGGGAGCCAAAGGAGCTGAGTGGAGAATAAAGGTATAAGGCGCAGAGGCTCTGTGGCACCTTAAACCAGACACCCAAGTCATTGTGCCTGCACCTATTCCCCATCTCAGCACCCTTGATAGGGGTGCACCGGGGCGGGGGCCTCCTTAGCTTTCCTATAGGTGCCCCCAGCATCACTGCTCACTTTCCCCCACCAGCCTTCACAGCACATCCCTCAGCCCGTCTTCCCAGGCAGCGACGCGACGCCCACCTCCTCCGGCATCAGTCTCCACCCCTGACAAGCCACGCCCATTTCACAGACCCGGTCCCGTGCCCCACTCTGCACCCCCAATCTGAGACTCTGAAGGTGACCGGGGAGAGGAATGGGACCTGGCCCCCCTTCTCACACAAGGACGTTTTAGTCTGAGGCCCAGCCAATGCAGACAGGCACATCATGGAGCAAATGGATGAGTGTACCCAAAAGAAAAGGATTTAAAAATTCAAAACAGGAAAAAATAAAAAGCTGGCAGGGAGCAAGTGAAATATTTAATGGCTGTCTGATTAAATAAAAATGAGCCAAATGCTCTGCGTCATGGACAAGGACGGGATTCGGCTCAACCGGAGGGAATCGGAAACAAACACAGGAAGACAAAAATGACACACACACCCTCAACAATGATCAGACAATAAGTTACGTCTCTAAGCTGATGAATTGCAGGGTGCTTTAAACAGAGAGCCAAAATAAGGACAAGAGAAAGATGAGAATGTGGCACTTGGGGAGGCTGCACCTGGGAGCCCAGATGAGTTCGCACCCGGCCCGGTTCCAGTCCCACCCCCTCCCCATCTTGCTCATTCATTTTCTCCTCAGAGCCCAAAGATCAGACCTTTGGGGAACAGAGCTGGATGGAGCCTGATGCTGCTATCAGTAGGACCCCTGGGGGACCCCTCCCCTGGCCTTGGGCCCCCCATATTCAAAAGACCCTCAACTGCTGCTCACAGGAGCTAGCGGAGGGAGCAGATGCACTGACAAGCCACACAGCCAGATTTCTCAGGAGACCACAGACGCAGACTGGGGACATGGAAGGGGCTCCTCTGGCCGATGGAGGGCTGGCATGGAGAGGGAAGCAGAGCCCAATCACGTCGACCTGCTGGCCACAGCCCACACCCACTGCCAAGCACCCACCCCAAGCCTTCCACCTATGCCCACTCTCCCCCTCCAGGGAAGGCCCAGGACCCAGAAAATGCCAGTCGACGCAGCGGTTCAGCAGAGGCAGAAACCACTCCAGGCTTCGGGACAGGAGGGAAAGGGGGTGCATGTTTAAAAAAACTGAACAAAAATCACCGACATGATCCAAGAGAGCGTCAGATTCTAGCATACTTCACACTTGAGGAAAGGATAAAAATCGCATGTTCTCCAGAAAAATAGAATACTTCCAAAACGTGTGTTTCTCTCAGTTGGCTTCCTGGTTGCTGCCGCTGCCCTGTCCCTCTGACGGTGTCAAGGTCCAGCTGAATGTGGTTGCCCCGGGGAAACGTCACTCTCACCCCTGGCTGGTAAGTTCAAAGTCGCCTGGGAGGGCGATTCTGGGTGTGTCTCCAAATACCACCTGCACAAAAGCCAGCCAACTGCCCCGCTGCCCTAGTGCTCAAATGCGCCAGCACATATGGAGCCCAGCAAACCCGGCCCCCGGCCCTGCTTTGGGCGCCCCCCCTTAAGGAAAACAAGAAGCCAGCCCCTAGCACCGAGGCTGTGAAAATCCAGGCCAGATGTGGGGTGCGTTTGCAGCTGCTACACATTTTTACATGTTAAAAAGAAAAAGTCCTGTGCGTGTCAAAACAACAAAACCTGTTTTCCCACCGGTGTCCCTGCTCCAGAGCCCAGGGCTTGGGTGCTGAAAGGGTCAGCCAAAGCTTTCAGTGGTCTGGGGAGGGCCCTGCCCCACTACCCCAAGCCAGGGGGCTTCAGTGTCACCTCAATGTCAGTCCTCAAACAAAGACGTAGGTCCCGTTTTAAGGGAGGGGCCGCACCCCCGGAAAAAGAAAAGACTTTTGTTGGCTAAAGCCTGAGTTTTAACCAAAGGGAATATAAATTACTTGGTGCCCAAACTAGCACTATTGTTTTAGAAAAGAGAATAAGAATTTTTAAAAAAGAGAAAGAGAGCAAGCCACACCACAGCCCAAGGCAGTCCTTCCTGGGGCTGTTCACGCTGCTGGGACATGGATGGGGCAAAGGCTCTTCAAGAGGCTTTTAGATTCAGGAGAAACGAGTCACAGAATGGAGGAAGCTCCGAATCCCTCCACCACAGACCTAGAAGAGCAGTGCACAGGCGGCCCCGATGTGGGATCGCGGCGCAGACACCCACCTGAGCAGGACTCTCGGCACAAATCCGCACCCAAGGGCCTCCCAGCCATCCTGGCCACCTCCCCTCACGCTCAGGGAAACCGAGAAAAAATCTTCAGCCGCCTCCTTCAAAATCAATCAGCGATTTTGCGGAGAAAAAGGGAGAGGAGGTACGTGAATTGAAACATTTGATCTGAATCAGATCCCCAGCTGCCAGGTTTGTCTCCTCCTGGGGTCCCTGGTGGGACAAGGTCTTGGGAGGCCTGGGTGACTTTCAGTGTTTGTGGCAACAGTTGATTTGGCCTTCTGACTGCTCCAGGACGCCCAGCATCTCCTCGATGATGGCCCGCAAGGCCCTGCCCAGCTGGTCTGCGTTGTACGGCTTGCCCAGGGGAGGCACATGGACAAAGGCGGAGCGGCCGTGACTCTGGTACAGAGAGGTGTAGTAGGTGAAGTCGCAGAGGTACCTAAGCCGCAGGGCATGGGGGCGGGAGAGAGATCGAAACGTGGTCAGACTAACAGGACAGCCTCCATCGAAACCCCCTGTAAGACATCCAACCTCACCCGGAATCCACAGGAGGGAAGGAATACTGTTTCTCCTTCCCCAGGCTGGCAAAAATTTAAAAAAACCTGACAACTCTCAGTGTGGGTACATAAGTGGGGACATGGGCGGCGTGGGGTGCTGCCAGCGAGGATGCCCATCGCCCCGGGGCAGGCAACTTGGCAGCCTAGCAAAATTACAAACACACAGTCTTTACAAACTGATAGTTCCAGTTTCCAGACCCCACCTTCGGGAGCCATCTGCACAAGTGCCCTAGGAAGATAAAGTGTTCACTGTGGCATGTATAACGGCAGGAGAACAGGGAGCAACCTGCTGGAGTCTGAATGTTTGTTCCCCTCCCCCAACACACATGCACACAAAATTCGCATGTTGAAGCCCAAGCACCCAGTGTGACGGCATTAAGAGGTGGCAGTCTCTGAGAAGTGAAAGTCCTCGTCAGCCGAGTGAGCGCCCTTCTGAAAGAGACCCCCGGAGAGCTCTCCCGCTCTCCCCGCCATGTGCGGACACAGCAGGCGAGACGGCAGCCACCTGGAGGAGGGCCTTCATCAGAACGCGTCCAGGCTGGTGCTTTGACCTTGAAATTCCCAGCCTCCAGAACCGTGAGCAATACACTTCTGGGGTATTTTGTTCTAGCAGCTCAAACAGACTAAGACACAAGCTAAAGGCCCACTGACAGAAGGATGGCTTAATAAACTCCGGTTTATCCACACAATGGAATACTATGCAACCATTTACAAGGTCTGTGGCAGAGCCAGAGGAAGGCAGAGGACTCCCTAAGACCTGGCCACACGTCCCCGACACTCAGGAAAATCCACGCCACCTAACCCCATCCACATAAAAGCAAAGCAAAACAGGACAGAGTCATAAAGCAGCATGCATGCCAAGCATCCTGTACGCGTACGAAAGCACGCAGGTGGTAAGCAGTTTCATAATGTAAGTCTTATTTAACAGAGGGATCACTAGGGGGAAGCAGAGACGGCAAGAGAATTTTTCACAATGGGAACATATGAGAACATGTTCCCAAATTATTTGTGCAATTTAAAACTAGTTTTAAAAAAAGACTGATAATAAATTCAGTCACTCCTACATTCAGTCAGTCAACTAAACTTGTCATCTGTTATCTTCGGGCTTGGGCAGCGTAAGAAGTGTTTAGAAATCAAGGTACCCGGTGCTGCTGAGAGTAGGGCAGAGGACACACTTTGGTCTGGGAGGTGGAGAAGGCGACCCTGAGGAGGCGACATGTTGGAGCTGAGACCTGAAGGAGGCCTTATCAGAGGGAGGCAAATTTGGGCAGAGGCCATAGCAAGTGTGGAGGTCCCAAGGCTGGAGCGAGTGGGTGTGAGGGACAGGAGGGGGCTGGCTGGGGACATGGGTCACAGTGGGTAAGGAGAGAATGGAGGCGATGAGGGTGGAGGGGGTGGGTAGGGGCCAGACCACATAGCACCTGGGGATGGTGGGGATTTTATTCTAGGTGCAGTGGGACATTAGGAGGCATTTAAGCAAGGAAGGGACAGCATCTGATTTAAGTTTATAAAAGATCTTGTTATAGTCTCCCTCCCAAATTCACGTTCACCTGGAATCTCAGAGTGAGACCTAACTTGGATATGGGGGGTTTGCAGATCTACAAGCCAAGGAACGCCAAGGGCTCCTGGCAGCCAGCTCGGGTCAGGGGCCAGGGAGCAGGCTCTCCCTCAGAGCCTCCAGAAGGGACAGACCTTGCCGACACTTGGATTTTGGACTTCTAGCCTCCAAACTGGGAGAGAGCCACCAGGTTTATGGTTTTGTTACAGCAGCCGCAGAAAACTAAGGGAGAAACAGACTGCTTGGGGGCGGACAGCCAGGGTTGGATAGAGGTGGCAGGAGGAACACCAGGGGCTTGGCTGGTGCAGGGTCCTGATGGGAGCTGGCAGGGGCCTGGGTGGGGAGATGTGGGCAGCTCCATATGTCATGAGTTTCAGAAGCACAGTTAGTGGGACCTCTTAGTCTATGTACTTTGCTCTGTGGCTTAGGCATGGTGAGCGCTCAGCCCACAGAAGCCAAAGTCAGCACACTTGGCTTGCTCAGCACCAGCCTCGTGGAGGAGGGAAACCCCTGCTCATGCCCGCCCCACAGTGCCCTACCTGCCAGCATCTTGCGAGATGGTCACTGACACATCCAGGCCCAGTGTAGTGACCCTCTTACACACAGCGTCCATGTCGATGATGGAGTCAATGCTTTCAGGCCCATCTTCCACGCAGCACTGGGAGCCGGGGCAAAAGCGGCAGTTGTCCAGTCCTTTGTAGCCCTTGTTGTGGCCACACTTTTCCAGTGTGACTGTGGTGGCCATGCCCGACACACCCACATGCACCACTAGCTGCAGACAGACAGGCAGGACTTAACAGGGTCTGTCCATGGGACTAGGAGACCCCTCAGGTCAAGGATAGGGTTGCATTCTCTCTAGACTCTACGTGGGGTTACACTGTTTCTGACCTCTTGCTGCTGGAGTAGACCCTGTAGTCAACTACTGCAGAAAGGTATGCCAAGTGAAACATGCAAGGGTATGAAACATGCAAGATTTTTGCTGTAGCTTTTTCTTAAAACTTAAAAAAAAAAATTGATCGATTTTTTTTTTAAGAGAGAGAAACATCAGTCTGCTGTTCCACTTATTTATGCATGAATTGATTCATTCTTGTATGTGTCCCAACCGGGGGTTGAACTCACAAACTTGGTGGATTGTGATGATACCCCAACCGAGCTGCATGGCCAGAGCCACTGCAGCTTTTAACACAATCAAATACTAGAAAGAACGTAATTAGCCATTTGTGGGGGTTGGTTAAATAAATCATGAAGTACAATGTAGCTGTTAAAATGCCCAAAGCAGTTCTATAAGGAATGATTTTCAAGACACTGCCAAATGCAAAAGACAAGGTATAACTTCTATGAATCTAGCCTAAAAATAATCAAAGATGTAATAATCTTTCAATGGTCACTCCAGTGTTATTTATAAAAATGAGAAAAACATGGAAACAAGTGGCATGTCCAATAATGGGAATGGTTATATTATTACTAAAAATTACCCATCAATTAAAATAATGTTTAGGGAGAATTTTTAATGACCAAGATGATTAAATGCATGATAAAATTTATAGAAAGCAGGATACTAAGTTGAGTACAGTTTCACTTCAACTATCAAGTATTGGTATGTATGCTTATATACAGAAGGGGCATTGTAAGAAAACACATGAACATTTAAAATACAGGCAGCCACGGGCCACATGTGGCTACTGAGCACTTGATGTGTGGCTGGTACAAGTTGAGATGTCCAGTCGAGTGTAAAACATACCAGATTTTGGAGATGGGCCCAAAAAGATGCAAAATGTCTCCTTTGTGATTTTTTAAAATGTTGATTACATGGGATCGAAGCAAGAACAAAGCCGCACAAATCAGCCTGGTGTGGGGCGCCCACCTGCAGGGCCCGACAAGGAAGCACCTGCCTCTGCCCCACTCACCTGTGGGCTGTGCTTCTCCCACAGGGCGGGGATGAGCCTCTGAACTGTCTTGTACTCGACCGGAATCTCATACACGTGCAGATCCACGCTGTCGCCAAGGCCCAGCTTCTCCAGCTCCTGGAAGCAAAAGGAGAGGGAGTGTCATGGCATCAGGTGAGGGCTGCAGGGACGTGTCCGCTGGGGATGAACTGGCCCATCCTCAGAACACAGGCTGGTCTCCTGCCTCGGGCAGGGTGGGCAGGCGCGTGTGCTGGTCCACCAGAGCTCTGTCTACATGTCCATGAATGGCAGGGGTGTGATGCTGCGGCCCCAGGTGCTAGGCTCTGGGGGCTTGACCTCTGCCTGTGTGACCTTGCGCACCTTACTTAACCTTTCTGAGTCGCAGTTTTCTCATCTGTAAAATGTGGATAAAGAGTTCTTACCTTACAAGACGGTTATAAGAATTAAATGAACAAATTCAGAGTTCCAAGCAAGGCTCAAATAATGTTGCCTACTGTGACTACTGTTTTTGTTATTACACTTTTCCCTCTGTTACGCCTGATGAGAATTATTTACAGACTTGGTGCCTGATACACAGGTCTCAGTGACACTTACTGAGGCTCCCCAGCTCCTTGCGGAGCCTCTCATTGCCTTGGGCGTGAGGCAGTTTAGGAACGTCATGAATTACATAGAAAAATGGGCTGTGGGTAACCACGTGCACTTTTCTGGGAAACACTGACGCTTTCCACCAGGGACCTGGCTAGTAACTCCCTGCGGGCCGAGCCTGCCACCTGGCTGGCCCAGGCACAGCGCACAGCAGGCCCGGGCACAGCGCACAGCAGGCTCAAAACCAGATTTGATTTACGACAGGAACAGCGATGCTGCCAGCCTGGCACACAGAGGTAGGCAGAAATATTTGGGAATGAAGATTTCATCCAGCTCGATATGTAAATCTGGGCATTCTTCGTAGTAAAATTAATACACCAAATGATGATTATCAGTAGGGCTGTTTACATTGTTCTCAGATCTCATGCAGTGGCTTGAAAATGCTGCCGCTGGGGGATAGCATCCAGCTCTGTGGGCGGCTCCCAGGGGAAGCGCTGGTGTGGGCGCCTCAGCCTTGCAGAGGCTTCAGGGTTCCCTTATCCAGTTGCCTTGACTGGGCTCCGCCAGCTCCGCACCCCATCACGGCAGCTCATGCTGGAGAGTGCCTGACGCCTGGAAAAGCAGGTGCCTCCTCAATGATAGATAATTCCCAGGTGCTCCCCAAAGAGAGTGCCTCAGGTCACCTGGACACACGGCCACTCGGAGGATGGGCGGGGCGTACCGGGTGTGTGAGCGTGCGTGGGAGTCTCACATGCCAACACCAAGAACTGAACCCCACCGCTCTCTCTGGGCGCACTGACAGGCCGGACCGGAAGGACCCCTAGAGATACCCCACAGCCGGACACACGGCTGGGCGTGAGGCTGAGGGGGTTATGCTTTGTGTGAAATTGGCCGGAAAACATTAAAATATACTAAAGAGAAACTGTAAAATATTTCATTTCTCTCACAACCACTTTTCTTGGTTATTCATATTCTTAATCTTCGTGTCCCCTGTCCTTCCAAGCCCCACCTTCCTGGACTGCGCAATGGGAGCAGGGAAGACATTCTTTCCAGGATTTGAGGGTTCGGCGGCAGAGAGGGCCCGCGCTCACCAGCGGGCAATCACGTTCCTACCCGACTATGCTGCTTCTCCCGCCCTCAAACCCGAGAAGCGTCGGAGGTTTTAGATCTGCGATCACCATTTCAGCTCCCCAATTTCCTAGACATTTACCCAGTTTCTGCATACGGGAGTGATTACTATGGCCACGCAAACATGGACAGACCACCATTGGCTTGAGGTTCCCTGGATACACCTAAGTTTTTTTCGGCAGATGGATTTGGTAAAGGGCACTGGAAAACTGAGGGCGCTGAGCAAGGGAAAGGGTCAGAGTCTGAGAACTCAGGTAAAACTCACAGTGGGGGTACAACTGTAGGACTTTTTGACTGATACTGGAGAGACATAGTCTGTGGTTAATAAACCTCTAATTGAACTGTAGCTGAAACTTCTGGAAGCCCTGAAAGCCAATTTTTCTTGAAGCCATTAGAATGTGCTGTGGGAGATACAGTTTTGAAGGGATTTGTTGTTGAAACTTGGTGCTCAAATCACTTTCTCTCCAGAAGAACAACAGCTCCACCTACAGTTTCATCCAGAACAAGCCTGGCAGTTCCTTATGAAACTGTGGGAAGGAGGGAAAAAGCAGCCCTGCCCAGAAGGAATTGAGAGTCAGGTAAATCCCGCTGTGTGGGCAGCTGGAAGGCTGGGGTGGCGGGGGGGGGGGGGGGGGGGCGCTAAGCAAGCTTCCCCTGTTAAAGTTGACCTCAAACTGGGGACAGGGGCCCCCAGTAAGAGGCAGTATCCCTTGGTAAAGGAGACCCTAGAAGGAATATGCCCAATAACTCAGAAGTTTCAAGGCTATGGACTCATTGGGCCCTGCCACTCTCTGTACAACACAGGATTTAAGGGCCATCACTGACATTGTAACAGAACAGTACAGCCAGGGACAGCCTCTGGTATTCAGTATTGGATTTAAAAGATGCTTTTGCATTCCGGTTGGCCAAGACTCTCAACTGCCGTTTGCTTTTGAATGGCAGGACCCAGAACCTGGGGTCCAGACTCAGAACTGCTGGACAGTCTTACCACAAGAGTTCAAGAACTTTTCCATGGTTTTTGGGGAGATCTTGAGTCTTTAAAAGATCTAAAACTAGAAGGAGGAACTCTGGTATGCATCATTGAACTAATCCTATAGCTACCCTGAACCATTTGGCCTTTAGTGGCTATAAAGTATCAGCACAGAAGGCCCTGCAGGGTTTGGACGCCACGAACCTCCTTCCCTCCTCTCCCTTCATGTCCCTTTGGCTCAGTCCCCTCCAGCATGAGGACCCCATATACCAGGCTCAATCCTCCCTCAGGGCCTCTGCATTATCTGTTCCCTCTGAAGGGAATGCTCTTTCCCCTCACTTTCTGGTTGGTTGGCTCCCTCTTAGCCTTCATGTTTCGGCTGGCCTCTCACCCTGAGAAGACTTCTGGAAGGCCAGCTCCCCTTGCACAATCTCTCAACCCCATAGGCTACATCCTTGCCTCAGCACAGAATACGCACACAGTAGGTGCTCGTGCATGTCAGCTGGAGAACAGAGCGGCTCAAGCTTGGACTGAGAACGAACACAGATCTAGGTGACGCTGCAAATGTGCCGGACCCTCCTGAGGGTGCCTCGCCTTCCTCAGCTGTAAGTGGGGGTTGGGACTAGCTGCCAGCTAGGACCCCTCTTTCCTTTTCATCCTTTCCTACATCCAAAAGTAGCTCATTACTCACAATTTCAAAAAAATAGAGACAGTCTGATGGGGGACTCAAGAGTTGGAAAATTTTAGTTTCAGGTAATAGCTAGTAAGCTTAGTAATCAATGCACGTAAAAAGCTATTGTTCCAGGAACTGAGGGTGTGACCCACCCTGACTCCAGGGACCACACGCAGTCCCACCTTTGTGCCCCAGGAGGACTGCACGCTATCGAGATGGGCTCTGAGCCAGATGCTCCAGGGAGAGACAGTGCCCCCCCATGCCCCCCCCCCAGGACACAGATAAAGACCACCGCCCGGGGCGCAGTGCAAGAATGTGGCAGCTTTTATCTGATTAACTTTTCCTCTGAATTCCAAACCTCTTACCTACACTTTTCTTCTCCTTACACAAAGGATTGGTTTAAAATGGAATGTAAGACGGTCAGTTAGGGTCTTCTCAGATCATCCGCCATCTGAATAAAGTGCCCGTAAAGATTCGATCCCTCTCTCTGCTTATTGGTTCTGGTAGTGACAGGCAGCACCAACGCCGGCTGTTCTGGTTTCAAGTCCAAGTGTCCATCAGTGGATGAAAGAATAAACAAAATGTGGTCCATCTACACAGTGAAATATTATTTAGCCATAAAAAGAAATGAAGCATTGACACATGCTACGGTGTGGATGAAAACAGGATGCTGAGAGAAGCCAGGCACAGAAGGCCGTGCAGTGTGTGATTCCATCCACATGAAATGTCCAGAACAGGCAAATCCATAGGGACAGAAAACAGGCTAGTGGTTGCCAGGGGCTGGGGGAGGGGCATGGCTGCTCACGAGGTGGGCGGGCGGGTTTCCTTTTGGGGGTGATAGATATGCCCAGAACCAGACAGCGGTGGTAGTTATACAACATTGTAAATGTGCCAAATGCCACTAAATTGTATATTTTAAATGGTTAATTTTATGTTATATAAATGTAACCTCAATTAAAAAATGTAGCTCGTAATTGCATGGACGGTGGAGGGTAGGAGTCAGGGATGTAGCTTCCAGAGCTGGGTGGCTAGATTGTTCCCCCCCGACCCGCCCGCTGGCAGGGTGACCCTGGGCACATCACCCACCCTCTCTGTGTTTGAGTTCCATCATCTGTAAATGGCATTAACAGTAACACTCACTTCACAGGAAGGAAAAAAGGAAACAATACACATGAAAGGCATAGGGCTCAAAACATGTTAACTTAAACTATACTTTAAAACATGAGTGTGCTTCCTTTAAAAAAAAAATCAAAGCAACTTCTGGCTAAAATGGAGCCACGGAAATCAGATTTACCCTTCTGTCTGGAACTACTGGAAAAACATAGACAAAACATGTAAAATAACAGTTTTCAGACATATAGTTGAATCAAATGTGAGGTTCTAGAAAGGGTAAGAAAGCTACAATCTGCAGCATGGAGTCCCAGAAAGTTGGGGGAAAGGGAGCAAGAGAGAAGGGAAAGGCAGGGGTATTTGGAAGAAGATGAAGGGAAGTGGATAGGGGGGAGGAGGGAGAGAGGGAGAGAGGATGGGGAGGGAGAGAGAGAGAAATGAGAAGCCGAGATCAGATCTTCCGAATATCCGAGGACTGACGGGCATATACACATGCTGAGGCCAGAGATAGAGCTACTGGAAAGCTCGCAGCTCATACGGGTCTTAAAATACTTGGTGTTCCCACCAGCCAGAATGGAAAACCTTCATAAGGAAGTGAGGGGAAGTTAGTCCTGTGAATAAAGACAGCTCTGGTCCTGAGTAACAAAATTT